CGCCGCTTTTGGCAAGAAAGTGTGTATTCTGTGATCGCTTCAAATGCTTATTTTTAGGGTTAGATAAATTTTTATAAACCTTGTTCAACATTTGCAGTTTTTATAAAATTAACGTAGCTACAATTTTATTTTATAAACAACATTTTTTGCGTTAACTCATTTGAATGTATTATGCCCCGCAATGGATGTTTTAAATTTTACATTTATGCTTCTGCACGCTATCGTGAAAACCATGTCTCTTTACAGCGTTTCTAAAATGTTATTTATTTGAATAACGTGAAACACAAAACTATCAGTAATAAACAGATAATACAACCTATAAATATAATAAAATCAAAGATAACAGCTTTTAAAGTTAAAACACTGGTTTCATTTAAATCGTTTTTGCATCAACTAACTTAAAATTAAATTCCTAAGAAAAGAAACGTTTAACATGTTATTCAAAATATCGTGTTATCGATGAGAATATCAAAATAAATCTAGATGTAAATCGTGCAAATGTTTATGTAAAATATTGACTTTACACTACAATTATTGTTATTAACTTGGTAGTTAGCTCCCCTGTTTATATTTTTACTTTTAACTTTTAAATTAAAAACGTTTCATTGCAATTGGTTCGTGTTCTGTCTTAGAATATACCAATAGCTCTTGAATAGTTTTTCCACGCAAAACACATGATTCTGTATTTATTAGGCAACAACTGCAATGTTTTATCAATCATGTACAGCATTATAAATTTTTTATTTTCATTATAATTGCTTGTTATGTAAGCATTCTCAGCAATATAACCCTTTTTCAACAATTGAATCAGTTATCCGATGTGTCCGATTGTGATATGGGATTTTTACAGGGGGAGATCATGTCCGCACTTTTTTTGTCTTTATTGCACGATAAAAGAGCCAAAGGTCTTTATATCTGGTTACTGTTACTGATATGAATTTTAATGTACGAAAAGTGTATATACAATTTTAAAAGATGCAACACCTTAGTGTTTTAAAAGGATAAAAAAATATATTTGATATTAATATAATTTTAACGTTAAATTTTTTAGGATTAAGTTTTTTTGGGAAAAAAAAGCCTTTTTTTTTTTTTCCAAAATGATTTTTAAAAAAAATATTTTAAGCAGGGATATACCAACGGAAGAAAATTACCTTTTTTCCTCCAACCCCCTTTCGCCGGCTTGCAGTCGGCTCGGGGAGGGGCCAATAGGTCACAACCAGATGGATGACCTAGTTAGGAACACTTAGCTGGTTACCTCCAGTGGCGAAAGGACGGGGCCCACAAGGAGCTGCTTGCTCCCGAAAGAGGTGCCTTGGCCCTCTTTTTTGGTCTACTGCATTCAAGAAAGCGAAGAAGATCTCTACGACGAAAGACGGCATGAGAAAGACCTTCGTTGCCGCTCTACACGATCAGCGACGTTGAAGGCGAACGAAGTCCTCCGCTGCAGGCTCTACGGCTAGCGACATAACAGACAAGATAGGGCGATAGGTTTTTGGGACATATGGCAAAAAGCCGGCGCCCAGTAAATAATAAAACTAAAAACACACACATGAATTAACCTAGAACTGCCCCTGTCATGTCACTTGCACACCGGGTTTTTTTTTCAATAGGGTATTAGATTAATTGACAGGAGAGGAGAATATCTTTATATTGACTTTAAAAGATACCTTAAAGATAATATCCAGATGAAAAATTAAGTTTGAAAAATTTACAAAAATTAAATAATTGCCCACACAATTATGCAAAAAGAATAGTGCTAGCGCACCAAACTCATTTTCATGACAACTTTATCTCTAATGAAGCTTTAATTTGATAATATCAGTGCGTTTTAGTGAAAGCGGTTAAATTATTATAAATCCATATATGTACATTTTAAAGCACAATAGTTTTCAAAGTTATGCGAAACAGAATAACGCTTTTTGATGGACCAATTTCTTTCCTACATGTAATTGAACTTCAAAAACAAGGGAATTTCTAAATTGCTTCTTAGTTATACCCAGATAAAAAATGAAGGATTACAGAAAATAAATTCTGAATAATAATGAAATAAAAGAGAGTTATGTTTCTTTTATACCCTTCAAAAAATGTTCTGCAGGCCAATAATAATTCTGTAAAAAAACTGCATTTATGCAGGCTTTCATAACCTCAGATTCCCTTTCAAAAATTCCATTTTATTCAGTTTCCGCCCATTGTTTTTCTCGTTTAGGGCACACGCATTCTTTTACTTGGGGACCATACGCCGCTTTTCATGGAATGAAAATAATGTGTCACATTGAAAGGTTCCATGATAACCGCCGTATGAACACATCTGTGGATGTTTCTAAATTTAAAATTTCACCATTTTTTGTTTTTAAATTCTGCTTAAGCCGGTGCTAGGGGGCGTAGACGGTAACTTGCACTTCCCAGTGCCTTCCATGAACAGGCTCTATCAAAATAAGCCTTCAACATTTTACAATTTTGCCGTGTTGGGCTTTTTTTTTGGGATTCTGTTTTTTTCTCCATTTTATATAACAGATTTGTCAACTAAAAAATTTAACGTGTACATCTTTTACATAATTAACAAAAACATGTTTGAAAGATTATTTGGTCCAGATAAATGATTGTAAGGTCGCTTTTTACTTTAAGAGTTTATAAATCTTCAAAGTTTCCATTCCGCTTCAATAAATGTGCCGTAAAACGAAATAAACTTATCTTCCTGTCAATCAGAAGCAACATTTTGTGGTGTCCAATTCGTCAAGATTAGACAATATCTACTTCTTCCATACAAACCTGGACAGTATAGATTTTAGGTAATTATTTAATGACACTTCTCGAATATTTATCTATGTATGGAAATGATTTTTTCGTCAAGATAACTTTTTGTTTTAACAAAAACATTTCAATCGTCAAACATGTCCAAATATAAAATCATTAAAACATATTTAAAATTATTACAAAGTGACAATAAAAAACAACATTTGACAGTGTAAGAAAATAAGAACACTTAGATATTGTATTTGCAAAGACATATATCATAACTTTTTTGTTAATTTCGTATTGCCTTTTGTTAAACTTCAACTTGCTTATTTTATTTCTTCCGTTTTTACAAAAACTATAAAAAATTGTTTTAAATGCTTAGAATCCAAAAAGTAACATTCGATAACTATAAATCTTTTTTCAAAAAGTCCACATAACGTGACAAAACTGTAATCTTTAGTTCAGAAAACAAACTCTGGGAAAAACACAAACTGCATGTTTTAAATTCTTTGAAAATTCTTTCTCTTCTTAAATCCGTTTCTAAAAAAAGAAATTACGTAGACTTGTCTGTACGCCTACATTACAAGTAAATCAAAAATAATTGTCATTATAGAATCCTTATTTTCTCCTGTAATATAATACGCTTAATTTAAACAAACCCTAGAAATGTATAGATCATTAGCTGCCTTTTTTACAAACCATTAAATGTTGTAATAAAATGACTCTGATGAACTCAAAAGAATATATAAGGATTAACTGTATTTGTGGTTTAAAAGTCCAGGGGAAATGGATAAAATAGTTGTTTTCGCTCAATAGTAGTAGAAAGGTAATTTTAGAGGATCATTTCGTAAATTTTAATATTTAATTCTATTTATAAACATTTAGAACAACACCACAAACAACTAAATAAACTATATTTACCCTAACTGGAAATATGAAATAAAACACCAAAAAAAAAAACCAAATTTAATCCTTAAATCTTGTAAGCTGTAAAATAGGTTGTTTAAAACCATCGTGGTTTTTAGGAATTTTTATTAACTGGGGCCCGGCTTGTTAAAGTTCGCTAGTAAAGAGCCTGCAAAAAAGGAGGACTTTTTTCCGCCTTCAACGTCGCTGATAAGTAAAAGCCGCAAACGGAGGTCGCTCAAATGCCCTCTTTCGTGTAAGAGAATTCTTTTCTCTAGAACCCCATTTACGCGGTAGACAATAGGAAGAAATGCCCTTCTTCCGTGGCGCAGCAGCTCTTTGTAGGGCCACACCCTTCGCCGTTGGTTAAGTAACACCAAAGCTAAGTGACCTAACTAGGTCACCCATCTGGTGTGAGCTATGCCCTCCGAGCGACATGCACGCCGCGAAGGGACGTCGGAGGAAGGTTGTTAACACACTGAATTGAAATTTTACATATTGTAGAGCCTATATAATTATGACTCTAAAACAATTTTCAAACATCGAAGAATATGTAAAAATAATTAAGGGAGGTTATAAAAAATGTATTTTTTCTTTTAAAAATAATTATGACTCTAAAACAATTTTCAAACATCGAAGAATATGTATAATAATTAGGTTATAAAAAATGTATTTTCTTTAAAGACTAAGTCAAATTTTTCAATAAGAAATGAATGCATATATTTTTAATGATTACATATAATATGTACATACATTTGCAGTACATATTTTACATATTCTTTTATGTTTGAAAATTGTTTTATCCAACACGGCAAAATTGAAAATGTTGCAGGCTCGGTTTGATTGAGCCTGTCTTGGACGGTACTGGAAAGTGCAAGTTACCGTCCACGCCCCTAGCACCGGCTTAAGCAGAATTCAACATTTAACACGAAAATGGCGAAATTTTGAATTAAGAAACATCCGCAGTTTATTTACCAGCTAATGATTGCGATGATTGTTGGTCTTATTATATTTCAGATGAATAATGTGACTATTTTGCTACAGTCAATTATGTTTCAAAATGTCCCCAGATTACCAGAAATATCTTAACGCAACAATTGTAATTCTTGTAATTCTTGGACCATGTCTGCTTATTGAGACTGCATGTAAGACTTAATTACATTAAATGTTTTGAACTTGTACATAACAGTGTTGTGTTTTAAATCATTATATTTTGATAGATATACGACATCATTGAATATGATAACGTACTTTGTACAAGTCAAGACAAATGTTTTATTTTCGTCATAATGACATGTTCTATTTATCAATTAAACTATAAATTGTTATGGATCAGATCGGGTGAATTACTGATTAATACACTTGTTACTATATATAGTAACAAAATTGCCTATGATTTCAACTGATTATGAGTGTCACGTGACCTATTATGAGTTTGCGGCCCCGGGCCGAGAACTAGTTATCGGCCCGCTGAACATGTGCACGTGAAACCAACGGTCACGTAAAACGTCATCGCGCACAGTCAACATTAAATATGGCCGGTGAGAGAGTCCTCGAATCTTTGTCTAACAAACTTTTAGATTTAGATGCTAAAATTAGAGTATCTGAACAAGATACCTATGATTTTATTGAAAGTAAAAAAAATGAATCTACAAAGAAAAAAACAAAGAGCGACATCGGAAGATTTATAGATTGGCTCAGTGCAGAGGAAGAGACTCGAGCGGTTGAAACAATTCCTCCCACAGATTTAGATATGTATATATCTAGATATTTACTGACGGTAAAAAATAGCAAGACTGGAAAAGAATTAGAACCATCAACCCTGAAAGGCATTGTGTCCAGCATACGGAGGTACCTGATTGAGGCGGATTACTCGATAGATTTGACTACAGACAGAGCATTCCGGCATAGTCGAGAAACATTGAAAGCCAAGACTACAGATCTTAGAGAAAAAGGCCTCGGGAACAAAATTAAAAGAGCAGACCCTTTTACCAACACAGAAATACAAATAATGTATGAGAAAGGCATTCTTGGTTCAGGTAAGATATGATAAACTTGGTAGATTTCTACTACGCGATTGACAGCTGTTTGTTTACACGCTACTAGGTAACGATAAAGGGAAGCAACCCGTTCAAATTTAAACGAGGGGCTCCCTACGGGGAATTGTGTAGCGGTAATACTGTTCTTCATTTAAAAAATATATCTTCATTTAAAAAATATATAAGTTGTTTTAATGAGGTTCCTAACTATTATTATTGATAAATTTATTATCCTTAGTGAGAGAAAATATTATAAAAAAAATATGAATCAAAATGTGTTTTAAGATCTTCAAGAATGTAAATCGACTGATTTTAATATTAATTAAATTTACATGTTTTTCAGAAAGTCCACAAGCCCTTATTTATACTATTTGGCTAAACAACACCATGCACTTTGGCTTAAGAGGTCGTCAAGAACACTCCACTATGTTATGGGGAGACATTGAATTAAAAAATACAGCAGACGGAACAAGGTACATTTTACTAATTTTTGAATTTGATATAAAATTGCTTTCTAGTACAGCTATATATATATGGATATTCATTTCTTAAAATTAACACCAGCATTCTTAAAAATTTATAAATTAAAATATGGAAAATGTATAGATTCTACTGTAAACCTACGTAAATTTATCAATATTTATTCATTTAGATTCCTGCAATTTACTGAGAGAGCAACCAAGACAAGAAATAAAATCACAGTTGATCCCAGAATGTTTCAGCCGAAGATTTTTGAAGTAAAAGGTATAGATCTATATTTTTTCCATATGATATATGTAATTTGGCACTTTATCAAAATAAATATGCTTAATTATTTCACAAAGAAGTAGTTAAGAAGTAAATGCTTTTAAATTTGTAAAATAAATAGTTTAAAGAACGCTATTGACATATCTTAAATTAATTATATTTTTTTATAAAGAAGTTGTTGTCTAATAATCCTCATTTAAGAAGACCAATTTTCTTTGCAGGTGACCGAAACTGTCCAGTTCAACTGTACTTGTTGTTTAAGAATAAGAGACCAGACTTATCTCCACAAGGAAGGTTTTATCTAGGTAAGATATTTTCTTTAATAAGGAATTTGCTTTAGTGAAATATATATTTTTTAACTATATTGATGTATTTTATTTTATATTTAAATGCTTGCTATTACATTTATGAAACGCTAATAAGACATCCATTTTTATCACTCATGTCAGGTATCAACCATAAAGTTTGTTCAGATGATGAGCCCTGGTACATGAAAACACCGATGGGAAAAAATACCCTAGGATCCATTGCCAAAACGATTAGTGAAAAGGCTGGATTTTGTGCAAGGCACACCAATCACTCTGGCCGAAAAACAGCTATAACTAAATTGTTGGAAGCTGGGTGTCCACCAACGGAGGTCGCACAATTATCAGGACATAAAAATATCCAGAGCCTGAATCACTATCACACAATGAGCATAGAGAAACAAAGAAACATGTCATCAATCATCCACAAAACCAGCACTGTAACATCAAGAATTGACACTGAAATGAACGACGGTTTGGATGAAGAATTAGTTGCAAGTTCCCAAGAAATTGAAAGCACCTTACATACAATTCATTCTTATGAAGAAGTGCAAAACAATCCAGTGCAGCATGTCATTGACTTACCAATTGCTCAAAGCCCAGGGGGTTCGCTAAGAATGAACCCAATGTCATTGTTTAATGGTTGCACATTTAATAGTTCAATCACAATAAATATGAAATAATACTTCTATACATACAAGCGTAAAATTATGTAACAATAAACGTAACTTAAAAAAATGATATGAATAAAAAATATCATAATAAATAAACAACTATATAAAGTTAATGAGTTATTATGTGTTCTTTTTTTAAAGTTTATATTTTTACATAATTCCTACCCCAAATGAAGTAACGTCAAGGATTTTAAAGGATATTAACTGTTAGATACCAATATTCAATATTATCATGAGCTTACTGTTCTACTAATTATCTATGAAATCATAAATAATCATCCCAAATTTTAACTGTCATAAAAGACGCTTATACCAGTCCAAGTGTATTAAAGACGTTAATACACGGCAGGAGAGGGCCGGAAGGTGATAATCGGCCCTGAATGAATAATGGCCCTCGGGCTAAAGCCCTCGGGTCCATTATTCATTTTGCGGGCCGATTATCACCTTCCGGCCCTTTCCTGCTGTGTATTAACCTCTTATTAATTTCGAACGAAGTATATTACGCGAAATATTCAGATATGAATAAATGATAAAATATAGCTTGTTTTATAAATAGAAGGTGTAGGGACAAGTCTACGTGAATCATTCTTTTCACATTGTAACTCTCAAATGTATTAACAATTTCACAAAATTGAATAGAAGAAAAATTTATCAGATTTTAATTCAATTATTATATTAGTTCAAAAAAGTTTTAATCTTGTTCAGATAAAATTAATTATAATGCTTGCTAAACATCTTTATTATGTAAGATAAAGTCGTGTTTTGCGTATTACATGTTTTCCTTTAAGACACGCGTTCGTCCTTATGGAATCTTATTACTCTGCGCACAAAAGTCCTCATACAGCCCATACAGATGTATCCGTGTGTAAATGGCTAAATCATAGTTCATTTACGTCTTGACAATAAACTTGAACCTTTACATCATTATAAATGACTTTGGTATACGATAAACATAAACAAGTAGATTATCTAAAGCTGTGCTCTATTCATTACATCAGCACAGTCTCATAACACTTAAAATCAGTGCAATTAACATTCCGTGTCAAAAGTTGGTTCTGAAATTGCAGTTACTATCTGTACGTGTCAAGACAGAAGCATAAATATTGTATCATTTCATCTACTTGATATCAGTCGAATAAAAACAGAAACAATAAACAAATATCAGTATTTGATTAAACAGCTGAAGAAATTTCTTGATGATAACAGTTATTGACTATAAGCCAACAACTGCACGATACTTGTTACTGATCAAGATTTGTTATCTCATTAGCTTAAAAACCACACCTGATAAAAACATTCCATTGTCTACCAGGTGGTTACCATTTACCTGTGTCACAAACATGGTTATTATTTTCCCATAATACAACTGCAACTATTCTTTTTTTTCGGATTATACAATTATATCATTAAACAGAATTAAATTTTCAATATTTGCTACAGAAAAACTTCTATAAAAATCAAGTCTATGGTCATATGGTATTGATAAAGAGCTTTCAAAATAACCTGTGATTACGTGTTTTTAATTGTGAAAACAAGCCTTAGATTGATAGAAATATTTACTGGTTAATATATTTATTTGTTTATTTTATAGGTAAACATTTACTGTAAACAATAAGGATCGAATTTGAGATATTGCATGCCAAATTTGCTACAGATATTTATTAGAAAGTAACAAAAACAATGGCATACACTTTTTTCTAGCACATAGTGAAAATTATTTATAATCTAATAATTACCAACATCCAGCCGATCAAAAAAATACTGTCTTCTTATCACATTTCTGGTGATACAAATTCATATTCGCACATATCACGCTTAGCATATTAAATTATCTGTGTTCTAGTTTCCGTGTTTTTCATAACATTTGATATAACATCAAGGTAGTTCTATCGTGATAATTATACGCGTTTATTTTTGTATTTTCAAGTCTAATTTTTATCTATAGGCCGTAAATGCGGAAGAAATATTCAATAATGCTAATGCAGTGCATAAATAAGCAAAGAAGTTTCCACTAACGGACTTAAAATGAAATGTTATACAAGTACGTATATACTATTATAAAGCAATGGTGATCTTCAAAGTAATATTTTGGTCATGTAATAAGAGGGATTAAACACAACACTGTTTGCATTTGCATATGCGTGTGTGCATTCGTGCGTGTGTGTGCCGGTTTTATATTTCATTCTGATATTGTCCTCAAAAATGGTTATTAAACCTAGAAATTACTTTATGATTAACTTTGACGAGTGTCTTTAAAAAACTTAAACAGTATTTATATGAGCCAATGAAAGATAGAAGATATATTGTTATTGAGTCAGTGTAATAAAATTCTACTCATCGTGTCACATATACTATTTCAAATTACTAATGTTTATTTTTTATCGATCATGGTTTACTCTAGAAATACCCTTAGTCACTTTAGTTATAAAATGTGTATGCACTTCTTTAAATTTTATAAAAAAAATACAGATAAATTTCCTTGAACCTTTTCTGGTTCACAAAACTGTTTATACTTCAAAATTGATTTTTTTGTTTTACTACATACACATATATAAATATCAATTTGAGTAACTCATTTTTAACGCAGAATGTCGTTATGGTACGTTTAGAAAATTAACATCTTTTGTTACTTCAAGCACGCTTTGCAATAAGCATTTTTATGAGCGTTTACTGCTCTAAAATGTTACGTTTTAACGTAATGTTCTCGTATAACATAGAATTCCGAAAATACATGATTATCAGCAAATACCGTGATAAAACTTTATTTTAATCAACGCATCAATTCAATCTTACAATCAAGATGTCTTACAACACAATTTTAAACTTAACACTGTTTTCATTGAACCTTTTAGGCCTTAAAACTTAAATAAAAATACCATTCATAGTGAAATTTAAAATTGTATCATGTAAGAATTTAGTTAAATTGACTTTATACAGCCATCGTTGTCTAAGTTTGTTTTATACCTCAAGTGTTTATTTGTATGTTGTAAAACTAAAACTTGACTGCGGCATGAAAGCCTGCTGATGTCTTGTCAATAATTCTTATTGTCTTAGATGTGCATTTTTAACGCAATCTTATGCTTCTGTATTTATTGCAAAACCTGCAACGTTTATTTAAACGTGAATCGTTATAAAAATATAGATTTGATTCTGTTGCTTGAGTATCACATTTTAATCAGACATTATACAGACTTGTACATGTACTTCTGTACATATTTAGCATTTTAATAGTTAAATGTTTAATGAATATTTTAAGATATTTCGTAAATGTGTAAATAAGATGTAATACTTAATATCGGCAAATATTATAAGAATATGAATTTAGATTTTATATGAACACAATCTTCATCAACTGAAATATATGTAAGATAGTTTAATACTTGATATACCAGATAAATCAGCAGCTTAATTTAATTTTCCAATTTCTGCAAAACAAGAACACAAATTAAATGTCCACAAGAATACACGTAAAACCAAAACATTTTGTTTAATTGATTTGATCACAACTAAAAAATGTAATAATGAATGATATAAAAATATCTTGTAACTCGTTACATTTTTAAAATCTTTTAGATTGCAAAATGATTTGATACTTTTATCAAAGAGTGCGGGTTTTTTACTGATAAATGATTAACTGATTAAAAGCAATAGAACCTGCATTACAAAAATAGCTTATTTGATACGGGTGGTAACTTTATAAATTAAAAGGCTTTTTACATATTTTTCTTGTATTTTGTTTACTGTAACATCTGTATCAAAATTAAACATAATTATCTGAAACATTTTTGTATAAGAACACTAAGGTTAGATTAACTGCGTGCCTTTAATGATAAAAATATCGTAGTTTTGTCTATTTTATATAATAAAACACGATTAAAGGTTAACGTGTATCAGTTTTCAGAGTGTCAATGTTTATTAAATATAATGATAACATTTCTTTGATGTTTGTTCACAGAAATGGGCGGGAACTTGCACGTGTATAAAAGATACTGCACGTGTAAGGTGTGCATTTTACAGAGAAACATTTAATTCAATATCGAATACAATTATTTTTATAAATACTTTGCCCAAATGGCATTTATTTTTTAAGATAACATATACAACATAACAACCTTGCAAAGGTAATTTTAGACTTAAGTCATATTAGAATTTGTTCATTCACGCTTCTCAATATTTCAAATCGACAGATATTATTGATTTTTAAAATGCACATAACAATTATAAAGATGCATACATCAGTTTTAGAAATTCACATGACATGGTTCTTGCGCACCAAACTGATTTCATGGCATTTTTTAATATATCAAGGTTGTAAGTTGATAATCAATACATTTAGTTGTACAGTTATATGTATTGATATATCTAAATATTTTAAGTGCAACAATTTCAATTATGCGAATTAGAATTATGTTTTTGAGGCACACACTTTTCCTTAATTTGATCTAACCATCTTAGAAGCTTCACATGAATACCAGCATTATTTCTTAGTAATGACCCAGGCAAAGATAAGGAATAAAACTAATCAAGGACATTAAAATAGAAAAATGAAACAAAAGAGTTATATTTCTTTTATATCCCTCTTTTTTCTGTGCAGGAAAGAAAAAATGTTGCAGAAACAGAGACATGTTGCATTTCATATTAGTGGTATACGAGTATGGATTTTGACCACAAAGTCGAACTTTTCATTTTATGGTTGAAATAAACATGCATTTTATATTTCAAATATGTCAATACAGATATTTTTAAAGACAATATGACCCAGTTAAAACGGTTGTAAAATAGAGAAAAACAGAATCCCTTAAGCAAGTCCAACGTGGCAAAATTGTAAATGTTGCAGGCTCGGTTTGATTGAGTCTGTTCATGGACAAAAGTGGTAATCGCAAACTACCGTCCATGCCCCTTAGTACGGGTTTAAGCAGAATACAACATTTAAACAAGAAATGGTCATTTTTTGTATTTAGAAACATCCGCAGATGTGTTTAAGTTTATATATTTGTGGCCATTTTGAACGCTACATTGAGACTTAAAATGAAATGACACTAGTGAAATTTAATGCAAACGATTATTTACGCCACCAGACATTTTATATTTTGATTCATTGAAATCTTACAGAAATATTTAGGAGAATTGTAAGGTTTAACAAAATGTATCTGTTTTTATATACGACAAAAAACGCTGTATTTTTATAAATTACCGCCATATTAAAAAAGATAATTTCGTATTTTCAGAAAATTAGCTTTTATAATATATGTTTGAAAATAATTTCTGCCATAAATACACGTGAATTTCATCTTAATATTCACCGT